TGCTGCAAGCCCTGCTGCTGCCAGTCTAGCTGCTGCAAGCCCTGTTGCTGCCAGTCCAGCTGCTGCAAGCCCTGCTGCTGCCAGTCCAGCTGCTGTGCCCCTGTGTGCTGCCAGTGTAAGATCTGAGGCTGGGACAGCCTGCACTGATGCTGGTGCCCGTGGCCTTGTCCTGGGGCCCATGAATGTTCCACTGTCCGTATATCATCAGGACAGACAGAGCCAATGATGCCTTCTCACTGGTAGAACCTCATCCTGGCTTCTTACCCACTTATTCTCCAGCCCCTCCCTCCCCTGCCTCCCCCATTTCCCCCTCATTTTAGATACAAACTAGGCCTGAGGTCACGAGTTTGACCAACAGTTCATCTCTCTGTCTATGAAGTCCTAATTGCAGACCCTCTAAATAAACACCGTCTATTGCACACAGCTCTTCCTCTGCAGTCCTTTCCTCTTTTCTCCAGTTCCCTGGGCATAGGCTCCCTGCCCAGGCAAGCCTGCTCAGTCTTTCCTCTTGGCCCCGTTCATGCAGCGGCCCAGGGTCCACTTGGAGCTGAGCCTGTGGCTTTTGCTCTGCCACTGTTTTTGGTGTGGGTTCTGGAACAAAGATCAGAATAAAGCTCGGTTACTCATCAGCTGGGGGCCACTGGAGGGAGAGGGAGCACTATGACCATGGTGCCACTGTCCTGTGGCGGCGGGGCAGAGATCCTTCTGGCAGAGAGAGGCATCAGAGAAATTCCAGTGTCTGGAGGAAGCCAGGTCACTGAGCTTTATCCTGAGTGTCATAAGACATCTGGGAAAGGCCAATGACAAAAGATAGGATTGTAGTAAGACATCTTTCTGTGTTGGGCAGGATGCTATGCCTACCAATGCATCAAAATGTGCCCCCAAAGTCCTGTGTTGGAGTCCTCGTTCCCAGACCAGAGGCTGAAGCCTTGCTTGGAAACCAGGTCTTCACAGAGACAATCAAGTCAGTGTGGTCACCAGGGTGGACCCTGACCCAGTAGGATTGGGGTCCTGATGGAAAGGGCAAGTGTGGGCATGCACACAGGGAGGTTGCCCAGTAATGATAAAAGCGATGGTCTAGGTGATGCATCCAGAGGCCACGGGACACCAAAGGTCATGTCAGCCACCAGCACAGGGGAAGAGGCTGGAGCAGGCCCCCTCTCAGCCTGGGAGGGGCAGCCCATCCACACACTCCCTCAGGCTTGGACCTTGGGCTCGGGAGAATCCGTTTCTGTGAGCACAGCAGCCCCAGGAAGCACAGGTGAGCTGTGACTTGGGCTGGACAGAGAAAAGCAGCTGCCTGGGGCCCGAGGAGTCAGAGGAGCTGGATACCCCAGTCAGGGGCAGTTCCCATGATTCTCTGAGGATTTTTCCCTAAAGCCCCACATGCTGCTGCTGAATACCATAATAACTAGAGCTCCTGGAGCGTGGGCTGTAATGCCAGTACTCAATAGATGCTGGAGGACGAGTTCTGAGCACAGGTAGACAAGTCCCTTTCTCCTTGTCTGCTGCCACCAAGTGCAAAGTCCCTCCTCTCCTCATGGGCTGCCACTGAGATTCCTTCTACTGTTGCCAATTCCTGCTTGGGCCCAGGAACTGGCACTTTGGGTTCTGTAATGATTTGTGTGGAAGACTTGTTCTGTGCCCTGTGTAGTTGGTTGGTTGGTTTGTCATGTGAGGGACTGAACCAAGGGCCTTCACACAAAGTTACATTTTCAGTCCCTTAAAAGTAGGTTTTTTTTTCCGGAATTGGGGATTGAACTCAGACCCTTGCACTTGTCAGGGAAGCGCTTATTCTACTGAGCCATCTCCCCGGCCCCAAAAGTAGTTTTTAAGGGCCAACCAGATAGCTCAGTGGACTAAATCACTCACTTATACAGGCTCAGTGACCAGGGTTTGATCCCTGGTGTGCTGTGCTGGCCCCACGTCTGGGGTGTGCTGAGAGGGCAATTGAGACTGGGCGTGGTGATGCGTGCCTGTAATCCCAGGGCTTGGGAGGCTGAAAAACAGGAAGGAGCACTACAAGTCCGATCTGTGTAGTGAGACCCTATATTAAAGACATTTAAAAAATAAAAAATATAGACATAGTTTTAAAAATTTTTCACTTTTATCCAGGTTCTTGCTAATTGCCTCAGCTGCCCAGGTTGATGTACAGCATCTAGAAGTAACTGCCACATGTCAGTGACTCTCCTTTTCCAATTCTGACAGCTAAAATATCCTCAGGTACTTCCAAATGTCCCTTAAGGGCAAAATCCCTCCTGGTTGAGAACCACAGCACAATAAAACCAGAAGATTAATTTATACGGAGACTCCAAAGAGCAGGAACAGGATGTGTCCCAGGGTGTAGCTGCCACTGCAGGGTATGGCTGTGGTGAGCGCCCCTTCTTGCCATGGGAGGTTCTGTCCTCCCTGTCCTTCCACTGTGACTGTAAGTACTTCAGTCAGTCCCATCTTTTTTTTTTTTTTTTTTTTTTTTTTTTTTTTGGGCTGGCTCAGAATGCCTCAGGGTATGTTTGGCTGGCTGGAGTGGTGGGGATCGAACCAGGGCAACCTGAGGCTGACTGCTTTGTGGAAGCAGCCACTTAAACAACTGAGCTAAGGGGCAGGCCCCAGTCACATCTTTTTAAAATTTATTTTATTTTTTTGGCGGAACTGGGGATTGAATTTATAGGCCCTTGCACTTGCCAGGGAAACACTTATTCCACTGAGCCATCTCCCCGGCCCCATTAAATTTATTTATTTATTTGTATTTTAGGGAATGGTCTACAGGGTGTTCAGGGTCTCACCACTATATCGGACTGCTAGTGATCTGCCTGTTTACAGCCTCCCAAGAGCTGGGATTACAGACATGTGCCACTGTGCCCAGTCTCAATCACTGTCTCAGTGGGCCCTGGGGGCGGGGTTGGCACAGCAGGCCTGGGGATCGAACCCCCGGCCCCTGTGCCTGCTTGCAGGTGGTTTAATCCCATGAGCCATTTGGCTGGCCCTTCAGTCACATCTCTCGCCATCTCTTTCCATCCTCTCCCACTTCAACGCTGGCCATTTTATAGACTCTATAAAATCATTGTAATCCTTACAAGTCTACTAATCATATCTAAATGATGTCTTCTAATCTCATATTAAAAGATAGATATAAAGAAGTATGACTCATTGAAACATCCTTGTTATTTTACTAAATTCTTTATTGGCTTTTATCCTGCGTAAGTGCACTGGGAAGAGAGGTCATTACAGCATGGCGAGCTCCCTCATTGAATCGTGGTGACCCTCAATGTGGCAAGCGGCTTCAGTCTCACTTCCATCCCTGAAAGCTTAGTGGTGCCTGTCCTTAAACTACATAGAAATGAAATCACGTACAAAATTGTATTAAGACAAGAAAACTTTTACATTAGGACTTTCAAATGTGTGGGACCTGGTGCTGGGAGTGGAAACTACTCAGAAAACACAGCCTCACATGGGTAAGGCCCTGGGTTCCAAGCCCAGCACCACGAACAGCACTGGGTAGTAGATGTCTTTGTATAAAGACTATAAATGAATTCAGAGGAACAGTTTTTTTTCTTTGTTTGTTTTGTTTTTTGTTCTGAACCAAAGATTGAACTCAGGCCCTTGCGCTTGCCAGGGAAGCGCATATTTCACTGAGCCATCTCCCTGGCCCTCAGAGGAACAGTTTTGATAAATGGCAACAGCTTGAAATAGTGTCCTGGTACACACATGTGTGTAGAGAAGACATTCAAACAGCAAGTTGGGGCCAGAGAGCTGATGCAGTAGAATAAGCATTTGCCTGGCAAACACAAGGGCCTGAGTTCACTCCCTGGTTCCAAAACAGCAACAACAACAAAACCCTCTCAAACAGCAAGCTAATGGTAGTGGTTTGTTTTTTTATATATATAAAATAGTCACAGATTCTTACAAAATTCTCAAAGGTAGATGATGGATTTTAAGATAAATGGTCCTATCACCAGGGTGTGCTGAGATGACAACTGAGACTGGGTATGGTGGTGCAGGCCTGTAATCTCAGTGCTGGGGAGACTGCAAAACAGGAAGGATCACCACAAGTCTGATCTGTGGTGAGACCCTGTAGACCCTATACTAAATACATATACATATATATATATATATTACATGTTTCCTGTTTTCAGCCTCCCCAGTGCTGGGATTACAGGCCTGCACCACCAAATCTGGTCTGCAGTATGCGATCTGCGGTACTGGGGATCAAACCCCGGTCCCTGCACTTGCCTAAGCAGGTGCTTAGTCCACTGAGCTATCTTGTCAGCCTAATAAATGGTTCTTAACTTTTTTTTTTTTTTTTTGAGGAACCAGGAATTGAACTCAGGCCCTTGTGTTTGCCAGGGAAACGCATATTCCACTGAGCCATCTCCCCAGCCCCCCCAATAAATTGTTCTTAATGCTTTCTTCCTAAGTATTTCCCTCATACAGTCAGAGCATTGATTTAGACTCTGTTATTATCTGAACAGTACAATGTAAGAACTACACAGCACGGCACCGTGTTAAGTACTATAACTAATCTAGAGATAGCTT